TCAATGAGGCTATTGCTGATCATATTTGTTAGTTGCCAAACTAGAGCAAATTGGGAAGAGAGCTCACTAAGGCTGAAGAAGTTGCTGGTAGGATATAGGGAGTAGTTAAGAAGATCTTTGCTCAGGTTGCAGCAGGGTCACATAAGGTGACAGAAATGTAGGATCCAAATGGGTATTGCAGCAGCTAGGGACTCTGCAGAAGAGTGTTGAAGACGATATAATCATGTTTGGAGTTCAATAGAGTCGGTCAGAGGAAGCTGAAAATAGGAAATGCATGACGGGACGGGATGAAATTTCATGATATTTGTACAGAGGCTCAACCTGTCAGCTACCCAAACGAAGTGAAAAGGCTAGGGCAGCAGCAGGAAAATAAATCCTGCCCCCTCAGGATGACATTAGACAATGAGAAAAAAGTGGGCATTTATCTGGCAGGAGTGAAAGCAGCATTTCTGGATAAATTCATAAGTCCAGTTTACACGGTAGTGCAGAGGGAACCGAGACAAAGAACTCTATGTGCTTGAAGCAGCAGTGGGAGGATTCAATGTAAAACGGGAACAAATGTGGGTGGGTTATATACAAGGGGAAAGTAGTGGAGACAGGTGTTCCAGTACATAACAAAACCAGGGGACAGCAAGATGCTCCCCATCCCTTCAACCTCCCACCCGGAGGAGGCGAGCACCATGTAAGCAATGTCTCCCCTGGCCACACTCCACAAAATGTGGTAAGTTTAGCATGCAAGGCAGTTGTTGAGAATGGTGAAAGACCATAGCCACTTCCAAGCTCGGAGGTGCTGCCAAGGACATTGACTGGCTTGGGAGTCTTGTACACTAATATTGTGCTGACACTTTCCTTAACAAAAGAGCAGAGTTTGAAACCTTACTCGAGACACACCAACCTAATTTACTTTTTGGGGGCTTTTATCCCTTTCGTCACTAATCGGCTCGTTAGCTGCTTGGCTGGTCAGTCATGTCTCTGATATGCACTGTTGGAAAGTACTGGGAATGCACTGGCTCCTGAATGTATCTGAAGCTGCTCCAGTGTTGGTAAAGTCTGGTATTGAAAACGCTCACACATTGTGCCATCACAACACACTGGCAGGTTGTTCCGAAAGTTCACAACTCTCACTCCGAAAGTGTTTGCCCTCACAGTTTTCTGGACTTGTGGCTTCTTCAACCATGAGCTGTGACCCTTCTGGGGCTGGCATCTGCCTGCTCCAGGTATGGACACTCGACTGAGTAGTGCACTTTGAGATGTTTATACACCTCAATTAGGTCACCAGTACCGGTAGGTGTTAAATTATACTGTATAAGAACAGGAAGATCGACCCGGAGGATTTTGAGTTTAATATACAAGGATAGAACTCATTTACAAACCTTTTCCAGGCAACTTGCAATAGGAGTGTGGTTATTTATGTTCGAGAAGACCTAAGAGCCAACCAGGTGATAGTGCAGGGGAGGACACTTGAAAAAATCGAAGTGGTGTAAAATGTAATTGAAGGGGGAGACACACACTCATTGCTGGATGTATCTATAGATCCATGAATTGCAGCTTATTATACTAAAGGAACTTGATAGCCCTAATAGACAATGTAACGGCACTGAAATCTAGCCAACTCCTTGTCATGAGGGACTTGAACTATGGTGACCGACTGGAGAAACAAAATTACATCAAATGACCTAACTTATCCTGCCACTCTTTTTGTAGAAACTACTGTATAAGATAATTTTTTATTCCAACATGTTTAAGATCCAACTCGCTATAGAGGGGAACAAACACCCATAGGTGGATCTCATCATAACTAACAAGGAGGGTATGGTGTTCAAGTTGGAACATCTAGCTCCCTTATGGGGAGCATTCCATTGTGCAATGAGACTTCTAAGCCCTTTAAAATCCTGCTCTGCAGATACATGGACAAGGGAAAGATCCCAGCGACTGGAAAATGGCATATGTGAGTTTGATATTCAAACAGGGAGATCGTCACTGCACAAATAATTGTATTATAGGCATGTGAGCTTGATCAACATTGTGTGTAAAGTACTAGAGAGCATTGTATGAGATGCCTTGATGGAACATCTACTAAGAAATAAGATCGTAAAGGAGTGCCAGCATGTTTTTATGCCATGACGCTCCTGCTTGACGCACGCTAATTAGGAGCTGGATGTGGTGACCCAGATCCTGGAGTGTAGTGGCAACATCCACAATATATATCTGGACTTTGCCGAGGCTTTCGGCAGCGTACCCTATAAAAGGTTGAACATTAAACTGGAAGGATTGCAGAATTCGGGCCTAACGTGGTTTGGAGACTTTCTCCGTAACCACAAACAGTGTGTGTGGTGATTAATGGCATGAAATTGTAATGTGTACCCGTGACAAGCAGGTACCAAAGAACAGTGTACTTAGCCCGTGGGCTAATGTTGTTAGTTTCATAAATTACATGCCAGAAACTATACACTAAGAACATCAGATGCTGCTGCGATAAGGACTCTCCTGGAAACAAGCCTCCTGTGGCTTTGTCAGCTGTCCTCGATCAAATTGACTGAATATAGTATTTAAATTAAAATAATAATAATAATAATAACAGACACTTAATGAATACCAGACACACTAGATTCTATATGTCAAGTAACTAGACTATATTATGAGTTGAAATAGGCTATTTATTTCATACTTACATTGTCTTGTGTAAGTGACAAGTCTTTAAGTGCTATTGTAGCGTACGGTATGTGGCAGGTTGTCAAATTCTCTTTATATGTGCTCAACGTACGTACATGTAATATATCTAGCACTCAGGATTGAGGTAGAATAGAAACTCACAATGCGTTTTCTGTATATATATATTGTTGTACACTTGTACAGTGCAGTGCTAAGGAGTTACTAGGTGAGGAGAAGCTTGCTCAGAGTTCCTGTTGGGCGAGGAGCTTTCTGAGGGAGCTGGTTGGTGAGGAGCTGTTGAGAGGTCTTGCTGGTCCAGTCGCTGAGTGTAGAATGCTCTCCATGGCTGTTGTTGTTGTTGAGATTGTCGGACCGTAGTCCGACACGGGCCTTTGCCTATAGGTTGCCCGTTTGGTGGTTCCGGCTGGAGCTCCTGGAGCAGCCAGACCGGATTTGGGATTGGAGGTTGTCCTACCTGCAGATATGAAAGGATACTGCAGGTTGCAAGTGTGAGCGGACCCCCGATCAGTGGACGCTTACCACCAACCCCCACTCTTGGACATGGTCGGTTTCGGAGTGGCGCGCCCCCCGAACTGGGGTCCGCACTTGCTGGGGGAGGATACTTCCTAAGCTATCTGGGTGGTGGGTATCGTGTGATGACCCGGAGAAGGTGGTGAATGTGGTTTGTTTGGGCCTTTCGGGTTTGAGTGGCCGCTGGTGTTGTGTGTTCTTGGAAGTTTTGAATTCTGTTTCGGAGACTTTATGTGACTTCGCAGTCGAGGAGATAGTGTTCAAGTGGGTTGGCTGTTGGCTCCTGACAGTTGGTGTATTCCATGACGACATTTCCGATCGTCTGCCAGGAGCACTTGTACCCTAGTCGTAGTCGATGAAGGCTAACTTGGGTTTGTCTTGGTGTTTTCTTGTCCGCGAAAGGTGGTTCCCCTTTGGTAGCCGCCAGATACCATTTGGCTGATTGGGAACCAGCGTTGAATGCGTGAAGGAAGCTCTTTTGGAAGTGAAGCTTGGTAGTCTTTCTGAGGTGATTCTTGATCTGTTGCACGCTTGCTGGAACTTGAATGTGTACGCTTCTAGAACGTGTGGCTGCCTTGGCTGCTTCGTCTGCCACGTCGTTTCCCCCGATCCCTACATGACTGGGAATCCAGTGTAAGACGACTGGGCGGTTTTGTCTTTGGAAGTCCTGTAGCTGTGCGAGGATCGAGGTTATGATGTGGACGTTGTCTCTTGGTTGACTGTGTTGCAGCGCCTGCATGGCCGTTTTCGAGTCCGTGTGAATTATGATGGACTTGTGCTGTGTTGCAGCGTGTTGTAGGGCCTTTGGGATTGCTACCAACTCTGTTTGTAGGGTGGAGCAGTCATTAGAAAGTCTCCATAGGAGGGTCTGACCTTGGATGTAGAAGGCCGCTCCGGATGTATGATGTTTTGGGTCCACCGAGCCGTCTGTGAAGTATGATGCTGCATCAGCCGGTGTCTATGGCTTCCAGAGTTATTCTTTTGAGGTCCTCCTTCTGGAGGTTGGCTTTGCTATCACCTAGTTCGGTAATTTTGAATGTGGCTGGTGGAGGGTTCCATGGTGGAGGAACTACGTAATTATTGTCTGCAGGATCAGGAATCGAGGCGAGCGTAGTGCGGGAGCCAATTACGGAGGAGAACGCGAAAGGTGTGAAACTCCGTGATCCTAGCAGGTCGTGGAAGCTATGACCTCTCCTGGAGTTGCTACGTGTGCGTCCGCACCCGGGAGTTGGTCTGATTGGCTGGTAAGCGGACGGCGGGGTCAGTCGGCAGTTGTAGGGGAAAGTATCCACTACACTATCAAGCAGGGAGGTACTACTGCCTGGTTAAATATTGGAAGCATAATGTGTTGTCTAATGGTAGACCCTGCTGTCATATGGCATCACAAACATTGTGATCATGTCCCAGGTTGATGTTCTGACTTTCTGTCTCATTTACACACAATTGCAGGGTCTCAATTGTTTCTCTTACTTTGACAACACAACATACACATACTGTATATCATTTCTCAATCCTGTTTTTTATGGCTATTATTATTATTATTATTATTATTATTACTATTATTATTATTATTATTATTATTATTATTATTATTATTATTACTATTATTATTATTATTATTATTATTATTATTATTATTATTATTATTATTATATATAATTTTTATTAGTATTATTTTTTTATTATAATTGCTATTTATTTTTTATTAATTACATTATTACTATCATCTTTATTATTATTTTATTATTCCCCTCCTCCTGTGCCTGGGCGGGCTAATGCCCGTAAAAAAAGGAAAAAAAAAACGAAAAGTTTGCATGGTAATTGATAACGTAGAATTTTGTTTAGTATTGCATAACATATCAAAACAAAAGACCATAACATAATGTTGGTTTTAAAAAGATCAGCATGAGATAAATTCTATCACCACACTACTTTTAATAGAGTGAACCTGTCAGTATGGACTTGGGATGTGAGGAGAAATTTATTAAGTATTGTATATCCACAAAATTTTCCTCGGTAGTGACTACAAAGTGAATTAACTTCTGTATGTGCGATGTTCTTGGTAATATTTGAACTACTGCTGTGCAGTAATTTCTAAAAGAAATGCCTGTCGGGTGATGCCAATGTTATCCCTCAATTAGGGGTAGCGAGAGTGACGGCGCTGGCGCGTTTAATTGCTGCTGCTGCAGCATTGTGGGCAACTGCAGCGGCGGCGGCGACATTAGCGGCTTTGGCGGAAGCTACAGGAGCAGGAAACAGTTCCTTCTTTCCGTAGATGACGTTAATGTGGTGAGTCTTGAGGAATATGTAGCCTTTACTCAACATAAAGTCTGTGAGGACCTTGGGGCCCTCCGCGATGTGTTTCACCTCCACCACGATAACACGAAACTCCATCTTGTCAAAAGGAATCGTTTTCAGGACCTGTGTAAGTTGTCCATATTAAATATATGTTTATTTGGGGGTAAATATTACCATATCAACGAAACTCACACTGGACTTCCAAGAAAAGAAAAAAGAAGTTTAAACTAAAGGAAAAATTGGCAAAACTCGCTAGAGAAATATTTTCCAACTCTTAAGATAAATTTACGCTTTGATGGAATTTATAAGTGAAAATACATGTTTTCGAGTCTAGTGAGGAAAAAAAAAGCCAGAAAAACTTACCCAAAACTCGTCACCTTCGATGTCCAATGAGAACAGGTCAATGTAAGTCCTGTTGAGGGCGAGCAGGATGGAGTGTAGGGGGTAACACTGCACTGTCAAGGTTCCATTCTTGTTAATACGACCCACTACACCTTTTGGCCTGTGAGAGAGTAGAGAAGGACAAGGGTTGACGCTGCTAATACAAGCTAAGATCCCTGTATTAGTGATCTTGTGAAGGGGAAAAAAGTGCGTAGTTACTCTCGTGTTTTCGGAACCTTGCTCACTCCTCACTATACCGAGAGAAGAGAGACCTAATTAATGCTCGCAAAGTCCTATAAACTTTTATTTACTGGATAAACTTCACAATGAAATGTACTAAAAACAGATTCTACTATCGTCAGTCAGCCATGTTGTAACTGAACTCATTGTTGTATTAAATTGAAAACGATTATTGCCAAAGGCATCAACTTTCAGGGTTAAAATTATTCCACGAAAATAATGACAATAAAAGTTCTGAAACAATCTAAACACTGTTTATTAATAAGCTTCCCAAACTCCTAAACTGACAATCCAATGACACAGCGAGACGTAAATATGAGAAAACTTGATATATTCTCCTGAAGACAACCCCTCAAGTAATGATAGACTACTCAAATTACAAAACATATTTGCGCACTGAATATACTTTTTTAAACATGAACTAAATCTCACACAACGACGCCGTCTTTTGACTCCATTGTTGGCAGCTTCAATGTCTCACACTTGGCATCACTTACGAACTTGATTTGGACAATAATTACAAACAGTATAGTATCCAGTAAGCCAGGAGCCTCACTAATACTCGTGGTCCCCGGTATGTGAGATTCTCATGCTTACGTTTATATAAGTCTTCGAAATAATAATTTGTACCGTTTTTCGATAGCTTATAATGGTCTTGGAATCGATATTTCAACTTTTGTCGGGATTTATTAAATGCGCCCGAACGCGTCGCTCAAGACATGCGGGATCTCCCTGGCAGGAGTGGCGGGGATCATTGACGAAAGTTGCTTACTCTGCCCAGGCATGTCTGTCGCGAGTACGTTATGCATGTCTCCCATTTGATTTGTTTCCCAGAATGTCGTCTCCTGGCCACAAACGTTAAAGTTATATCTCAGTAGAGCCGAGGGTATCTGGAAGCTGCACGTCTGTTAACATAAAAACATAATTTTCATTCCTAAAATTCCAAGATGTGATCCATTACTTTTTATAACTAAAGAGAATATTTTAGTCCATTACACACAACCCACCTGGCTATGCAACATGACTGAGTTAGTGATAGTTGATTATTATTAAAGCGTTGCTAGGAAGATGACAAAAGTTGTGGCATACTGTAGTTTACTTTCGACTTACATAAACCTCACAGTGGTTACGTATGGTTGAAGGGACACACAAGACTCTATGGTGTAAGCTTTCCTGTTCCTCTTGATCAGTTTTTGGTACAGGTCAGGGTTGGCCTCGATCAGGAGACCCGTCCAGTTGAGGTACTTCTCGAAGGAGAGAGTGTTGCTCTGATACTCTCCGTCGTAACCTCCCACCTCAACGAAGAACCCGTTCTTCTGTCACCCAAACACATATACTGATAGTTATTTTACTGATACAGTTGCACTCCAGAGATATACTGACACCACAAAGATACAGATGTACTCCAGATGCAGTGGTAAAGTGTTACTCCGGTTATACACTTGTACCCCAGAGGTACAGCAATATGTTCTTTTAACAAATGGTTAAAATGTTGCGGATTTATTTAAGTTAATTTGACTAATGTGATGCAAGTGATGGCGTCAGAGAGATAATTTGATAATTTAAAGTATGCCGTTTGAGAAATGTACAGAGTTTGGAAGACAACAATAACAACAACAACAACAATAATAATAATAATAATAATAATAATAATAATAATAATAATAATAATAATAATAATAATAATAATAATAATAATAATAATAATAATAATATTAATAATAATAATAATAATAATAATAATAATAAGGATGTAATATCATGACTGACTCACAACGTTGTTCAAGAAATACATCTCTCACCACATCATGAAGCAGCTCCTCCAGCGCAGGCGACGTGGCCGCCAGAGAGTAGTCCCGAGAATTGGAACTACTGAGGCGGTAAGGTTCCTTGGAAGGCGGGCGCAGCTTGTACTTCCTGAGGTAGGACACCAAGTCTGGGTCGCCGTCAGCCGTCCCTTCGAAGTTTCTCTGCTGGAGTTCGGGTAATGTAGTTGTTTTAAGAGGATGGTTTAACGTGTGTGTCGGCTCCACTTTCTTCATCTTCCTTTTTGATTCATCTTGATGGTTGTCGCTGATCGTGAGTGCTTCAGGTTGTGTGGGGAGGATAGATGTTGGGTTCCTCGTGCTCTTGGATTGGTGAAACTTATCCAACAAATCGACCTTCTCTTTGTGAGTTAAGAACTAATATAATTAACAACTGGAACATTGACAAATAGAATAATTAGTGTTTTTTTTTATTTTTTTATTTTTTTGTCTAACGATTTTACCCAGTACGCCGTTTCCTACTGTCAGTTATATCATGAGTGTGAATAAACTATCTCACTTGTCATAATGCTAACTATATCATCACAAATAAGTACCGAAAAACATATCAACATAACCTAATAAAAAGTACATTAATATACCACACATGTGAGCCGAATATACAGTTAGAGCAATAAAATATGTAAAACTGGAAGGGTGGTGGTGGTGGTGGTGGGGGGGGGGGCAGTAAACTTGAGTACGATGAATTACCTCCATGAGTAAGATGAAAACACCTGAAGTCTGATGATTTAATCCCTTGAGTACAATAAGCATGATGACTTGATGACTTTAAGGGTTATGTCATCGCACTTCAACTCCTTAAATATTGTTTAACTCCTCAGTTCAGTAATTTAACGTGAAGTATACAACAATTTAGGTTATGTTAGGTTAATAAGTGTCAATATAGTACAAAATAAATCACCTTACACAATACCTGGAGTCAGGATGGAGCTGAGGATGAAGGTGAATAGGAGGAAGGAGAGGAAGGGAAGCGGTCGACTGCGCCACCGCTTCATGATCGTCCTGATTCTATTACACTTCATACTGTGGAGGAGCAGAAACAGGTGTTCCTTCACACTGCATAATAGATAGGGCCATAAATTTTACAGGTGGACAGTGACCACACAGGTGTTTTGTAAGAACCTCCCACACCTGTACTATAGATGCACTTACTGTTGTCTTCATGTATAGATTGACTTACTGTATCGGAATTGTATCTCACACAAAGGCAGGGGGAGTGTGCACGCAGGGGAACGTATAAGAACAGAGGAAACTACAACGGGCGTATTGGCCCATACTGGGCAGTCCCGTTTACGCCCACCCCTTATCACTCATATACAGTATATATCAAACCTATTTTTGAAGCTACCCAGCGTGTTCGAGTTAATGATGATGTTTAGTAACTTGTTCCACTCGTCCACTACTCAATTTCCAAACCATTGTTTACCTATTTCGCGCTTAAATCTAAATTTGTCTAATTTATAACCATTGCTACGAGTTCGCTCCTGGTTGGATAGTTTGAGTACCTCTGTATATCACCTTTGTTTAGTCCTGACTTCCATTTATACACCTCGATCATATCGCCCCTCACTCTACGTCTCTCGAGGGAGTGCAAATTAAGATGCTTTGATCTGTCTCTGTACTCAAGGTTCCTTATGCCCGGGATTAATCTTGTCATCCTCTTCTGCATGCTTTCTATGGACTCTATAATCATTTTGAAGCACGGTTGTCATTGTCACGTTGACTGCTAATCTGTTTTAACTAATGATTCTTATTAAACTCCACGACCGCAAAACATGAGAGGGTAACTGGTTAGCTATCCCCTTACGCTTCTTCTAGGGGATAGCTAACCAGCTACCCTCTCATGTTTTGCGGTCGTGGAGTTTAATAAGAATCATTAGTTAAAACAGACTAGCAGTCAACGTGACCATGACACGGTGAACAAAACTGAACTGCGTATTCTAAGTGAGGTTTCACAAGCGCAAGATATAGTTTTATGATAACCTCGCTAGTTTTGTAACTAACACTCCTTTGTATGAACCCATGTACTCTGTTCGCCTTGTTTTGAGCAAATACACATCCAGATGCATCACGAACATGGAAACAAACTCTTCTTAACCCCTACTCAACACACAACTATGATGAGGAGCGCTTTCCTTTTTTTTTAAAGAGCTCGTATTTATCATGAATCCATGAGTAAATTACTAGTTGTCTTGGTTTAAGAGTCCTACTTATTATTACCCCTAAATCTTTCTCACAGTAAGATTTCCCTATATCAATGTTGTTCATCTGATATCTGGTTTCTCTGTTTACAGCTCCCAGACTAAGAACTTTTCATTTGTCCACATTAAACTTCATATGGGTGGGTAGGGGAGTGAATGGGGTATTTTTTTTTATTCCAGTCTAGTCTTACGTTTTGCTTACTGTCTAGTTTTTAACTGTTTTATATCACATTATAGTATGATCTTAGTTGTTGGTGCATAAGATTTTTAAGATGTCTTGTATTATCAATGTTGGTAACTCTGCCACAATGTCATTTCAATTTAGCAAAGAAAAAAATTCGAAATATATATTATTTTACGTGTTGAAATGTTACTAGAGAGATATCTTGAAGTATTAGCAATAATGGTAGTAGTAGGTAGTAGGCAGCTACCAAACAGGGAGGTACTACCGCCTGGGAAGATATTGGAAGCGTAATGTGTTGTCTAATGGTAGACCCTGCTGCCATATGGCACCACGAAAATTGTGACCAAGTTCCAGGTTGCTGATCTGACTTTCTGCCTCATTTACACACAATTGCAGGGTCTCAATTGTTTCTCGTACTTTTGACAAGACATCATACATATATTGTTTCTCACTTTTGATCTTTTTTCTTTTATTTTTATTTATAGTTCATTATTATTATTATTATTATTATTATTATTATTATTATTATTATTATTATTATTATTGTTATTATTATTATTATTATTATTATTATTATTATTATTATTATTATTATTATTATTATTATTATTATTATTATTATTATTATTATTATTATTACTCTTATTATTATTATTATTATTACTCTTATTATCACCCCCCAGGCCCCGATGTGGGTCAGTGACCTGTGCCTGGGTGGGTTAATCTCGTAAAAAACAAAACAAAACAAAAAATCACTTATCTGGATGGTGTGTGGAGGAGCGGCTTTATCCTTGCGTGAAATGATGAAGACTAAAGGGTCCACGACTGAGCTCTGCTGGGGAGCCTAGAGAGGGGTGGATGTGGGGGGGTGTCAGGTGGTGTGTAGAGTGGAGGAAGGTTGAGGTGGTGGGGAAGGTTGGAGGGGTGTTGGTGGTGGTGTGGGGTAGGGTGGTGGTGTTGGAGGGGGGATGAGGTGGTTGTAGTGGTAGAGGGTGAGGTGGCGGGAGGGTTGAGATGATGGGGGGAGGGTTGGGGTGGTGGTGGTGGGGGAGGTTGAGGTGGTGGGGAAGGTTGGAGGGTGTTGGTGGTGGTGTGGGGTAGAGGTGGTGGTGTTGTAGGGGGATGAGGTGGTTGTAGTGGTAGAGGGGTGGTGTGGGAGGGTTGAGATGATGGGGAGGGTTGGGGTGGTGGTGGTGGGGAGTTGAGGTGGCGGAGAGGTTAGAGGGGTGTTGGTGGTGGTGTGGGGTAGAGGTGGTGGTGTTGGAGGGATGAGGTGGTTGTAGTGGTAGAGGGGTGAGGTGGCAGGAGGGTTGAGATGATGGGGAGGGTTGGGGTGGTGGTGGTGGTAGAGGGTGAGGCGGAGGGTTGAGATGATGGGGAGGGTTGGGGTGGTGGTGGTGGGGAGGGTTGAGGTGGCGGAGGGTTAGAGGGTGTTGGTGGTGGTGTGGGGTAGAGGTGGTGGTGTTGGAGGGGGATGAGGTGGTGGTAGTGGTAGAGGGTGAGGTGGGGAGGTTGAGATGATGGGGGAGGGTTGGGGTGGTGGTGGTGGTAGAGGGGTGAGGTGGCGGGAGGGTTGAGATGATGGGGGAGGGTTGGGGTGGTGGTGGTGGGGGAGGGTTGAGGTGGCGGAGAGGGTTAGAGGGGTGTTGGTGGTGGTGTGGGGTAGAGGTGGTGGTGTTGGAGGGGGGATGAGGTGGTGGTAGTGGTAGAGGGTTAAGGTGTGAGGGAGGGTTGAGATGTGACAAAGTATTGTATTTAACCAGGTACAGTCTCACCCAAAAGTTCGTTAACTCTCCCAGCCAGCCATTGCTGTACTGCCTGTTTCAGATGTTTGAAACTGTCTCAGTACCAACCAGAACACGAAACCGATACGAATGAATCTAAAGGTTCGAAGTAACAGACTCAAGTTCATACATCTGAAGCAGGCAGTGCAGCAATAGCTGGCTGGGAGAGTTAACGAACTTTTGGGTGAGACTGTACTAGGTAGTGTAAAGTCATCTAAAAAAGTCGGCGTCTCCTCCCGAACGAGTCAGTGTAATGAAATAATGCAGCACCAGCAGTGTTGGGATCCTGAACCACACACCTGTGAGTGTTCTTGGTTATAATGTCCCTTACCTGAGGATGTTATGCACATTTCCGCTAACATTCTGTTAGGGATGTAATGGTAACAAATATATGAAAAAAAAAATTCCTGGCTTCTTTTTGCGTTGGTGTTCTCTCTCTCTCTCTCTCTCCCTCTCTCTCTCTCCTGGTGAAGATGGCAGGTTAATGAAGTTCTCAGGGAAGAATGTCATTCTTAAAAGATATGACAATTATGCCCCTGATCATTATGACAACACAGAAATTTCAATATATTTTACATGCCTATCAATAACATGTTTATACGTGAATATGTATCACATAAAAGAAATATGTTGTAACAGATGCAAAGGCGCTTAATTTTTAAATAAAAGGCGCAATAAAAGCTCCATATGCATGAAATACAACAAATATTGTAATATATAGTCAAAGCAGATGCGACCCAAGTGGCACCTTATCGTCCACCACCAGCTAAGTCTCACCCGGCGGCGGGAAAGTATAGAACTGTGTCGCGTCTCATTTTTACTAAAAGATTGTGAATCACTCTTTTTAATGGGAATTTACACATTTTAGTGTGGTGGTCTGATCCTCACACACGAGACACAGACGCAAGTGCTCGGAGCAGTGCACACAGCTCATCCCAAAGGAGCAAATGAGCGGTTACCCAACTCTAGCGACCTGGTGATGGACAGCCAAAACTGAGGACTGGATGATGGCGCGATAATAAATGCGCCCAGTGGAGTTATGGTCTTGGGTTTGTGTGGTCTGCAATGAATAACATCTACCATGACACCATCAAAATGGCACCTTTCTAAGGAAGAAAGTGCTAACAAGATAGGCACAAAAAGTGGAATTGTTCCCACGCGGAGTATCTGTCGAGGTGAAGGATTTAGAAAGTGTCACTGTAGAAGTAGCTGCCTAACAAAGCGGTGCTCTTGTCTGAAAGGCGGCCCTCGTTACAACAGTGCGTGTCATTGCCATAAATCATGTTAAAACATTGCTTAAGAATTCTCCATGTGTGCATCATACTGATGTTTTGGTTAAGATTCGGAAAAGATCGACCTCGGAACTTTATGTTTATATAGGGAGATAGAGAAAAAAATATTGCGTTTCCGCCCAAAATTATATTTTTCGAGTGTTTTGGACTTCAATTTCGCTCAAGAATTTACATTAGGGCAAGAGACACGGTTTCCATCTAATCACTCGCCAATCACCTTAGGTTTTGGTGTCATGTGATTATGTCTAGTCAATCAGCGTTGCTCTTGAAGTGTCACGTGATACTCCTGCGCATGCTCAGTTACGAATTCGAGTTGGTTTGGCTATAGTAGCAAGACTGCAAGATGGCTTCTCTCTACACTAGTGTTCTGTCTCAACTTGGCAAACTATTCCTCGTGTATTTAAGAATGAAGCCGCTGTCATTGATATTTTTAAGGCCCATGGTATTCTGCCAACCTCTGTGAAGTGCTACAGACGTCCACACGTAAAATATAGAACGATTGTAAAAGGATATCAAGAGTTGAGTACTTTGTGCCAACAGTAGCGGCAATGTTTTGGTCTGCACATGTTCCAGGCCGAATACAACGATCACAAGACTATACTCCACCACTTCCTCCGACAAGTAGCATCACTTTATCCCCCACCATCTGTTAATTAAGGTATTTTTTGGTATTATTGAAGTTTCGGTCACTACACGGCCGAACCGTCCCCAACCTTTAGATCTTATTTGGAATATTTTTAACCCCATTTCAACCAGACTCCCCAAAAAAAGAGTCGGAAATGAATTTTAAAGTTTACCATATTTTTTCCATGTGGGGGGGGGAACTCTAAAACGGGTTCTTTCTCCGGAAATAAAGGTCAAATTCGATTACATCACACTAAAATACACAGGATAAACTAATTTCTGAACTACTAGGGCATATTGGCAAAAACTGCATTTTTATTTTATTATTATTATTTTTATTTATTTATTTATTCATTCATTCAACTACTGGGGTCCAGGGGTGGCGGGTTAGGTGGTTTCGTTTCGTCAGTTTTTTGCGTTTTTACCATATATTGTTGGTAATTAGGGAGGGGGGGGGCATATCTCCATAACAGCATATTTGCGACGGAAATGAAAGTCGATTGGCTAGAAATACCTCCAAATACAGTAGGAAAACCAATTTTTTTTTATTTTCCGTGGTCGACCTTTTTCGAATCAACCGTTTCTTGTAAATGTGAAATGAAAGTGATTTTTGCCTATTGTATGTTAATTTTATTTACTTTTCCATTCAAATAGATTACTCAGTTCATTATCTCATTATAAATCGCCATTCCATCTGATTACTTTGACATCACCAAAATACAGTCAACCGTAAGTATGAATATGGGTCTCTTACGGTATTCGAACCCATGAAGCTCGCAAACATTCTTCTTGCAGTACGGGATTCCAGTTTCGATAATGTTACCGTGTATATATTCTAGTATTACCAGTGTTATTAATATTTGCTCTATTGACTAGCATATTTGTATAAAACGTTTGTACAGACACACTTTGTCTCCTCTGTTATGAAGCGTGACTCGAATGATACTTAATTGTTTCGAGTTTAGAACTCTGCTCAAATAAACTGAAAAGTAGTGAGAATAAAGTGCAAAAAGGGTTAGTAGTCTCACAATAAATTATTTTTGTGTTTTATTATAAAGTCGCCAGGCGTGAATAGCTCCACCTGTTGAAACACTCCCGGCAACTACAGTATACTTGGCGCCGTGTTGTTTATTTAACTCGTGCTGAGAAAAGCGCCGTCTATGGTTTGAAAATCAAAACGAAACCAGAGGACTCACGGGGGTCGCTCCAGCGGTTCATTCTGATAGCCGAGGACAGACCTTTTGAGGTGACTGTACAGTACATACGTGGTCAGCCCTTTGTTTGATGTCAACGGTGTAAAAATTAAAATTTTCTACTTAAGTTAAAGTACTGCTACTCTCAAATATATTTACTTAAGTTGAAGTAAAAGGCTACCTACCTATATCGATAACACCCCAAATAAGCTACTGGATAAAACAACAGTAAGATGCAGTATGTCCCTTGTACTGTAAACTATATTTAACCATGACTCAGATTATTTCCCTAGAGTCAATTCTTCTCGGGTTTAAGGCTGAAATTTAATCCTGCGTAACTGAACAACTTTCCACATGGGCAGACGCAGTCAAAGGTGTATTCAATCGAATGGAGGCATTCAGTATGGCTGGAAATGACCAAAGCGCCTCCATCTAATCGTCTGTGAATACCAAGTAGATATTCAATTCTCTCTTCTCTCGTGAATGTCAACGCTTCATCGACTCAAAGAAATTGTCGTCTTCAGATAAGCTGGTGAATTCATGAATCTCTGTATAGTAATTGTCAGTAATTAAGCTTCCTTGGCTTGGCCCGCTTGGGTTACTGAAAATAAAAAGCGTGCATACGCGATGCGTGAATGTGAGGCGGAGCAACGAAAGGTTTGCAAAAATGTAGTGGAGTAAAAGTACGATATTTTCGGCTGTTAATTGCTACAGCCGTCTGTACCACTAACTTCATCTAGTGCGGTGGACATAATTTTTCTCTCAGTGGTTTGGCAGCTATGCTCCTGGCCCCCCACTAGACACATTATTGCCCACAAGTTGTCGAATGGGTTAATGTCCCATCCTTTGTTCGGCCAATTTACAGGTTGCACTCGTTGACTTGAACACTATAGCTGTTTGAACGTGTTTAACTGAAT